AACTAATATTATAAATGCGAAAGTAACTCTGTCTGTCTGTCTGTCTGTCTGTTACGCTTTCCCGCTTAAACCTCGCAACCGATTTTGATGAAATTTGGCATAGAGATAGTTTGAGTCCCGGGAAAGAACATAGGATAGTTTTTATCCCGGTTTTTGAAACAGGGACGCGCGCGATAAAGTTTTTCTGTGACAGACAAAATTCCACGCGGGCGAAGCCGCGGGCGGAAAGCTAGTCTAACATAAAAATATACATCTTATTTTTATAGTTTTCTTTTCAACTTTTTAAACCTTAATGTACAGTACTAGAATTCCAATTTGCATAAATGCTATTGGATTTCAAATAAAAACTAAGTAATCCTCCTAAGGATTGTAACTACTATTCATAAAGTTGTTTACCATCAAAGTGTGAATCAATGTCAATAAATTGACTTTTTTTCTTTTTATTTACAGAGAGTTATGCCATCCTACTGGTACATATTGCTGAGATACTTTCTGAGAGTGGATGATGTCTTGGTGCGTTCAAATGAAACCAGAATGTTCCATATGCTTGATTCTCACTATATCCTGCGAGAATTTACAGCAAAAGAATCGAAAGCACAGGATTTAAATGTAAGTAGAGTAAAATAATAATTTATAAAAGATCTTAAGAGATTACAGGAGAATATTGTAACTAATGCATGAAAATACATTTGACTGCAGCTCAATCTTTTATTTATCTCGACACAAAAGTGATAGCAAGGGTATTTGCTAACTAATAATTCAGTTGCAGCACATTAGATTACTAACTGTCGCAGTAACAACAATAAAATCTGCGACAGATTTAGTTTCGTGTTACACATTTAGGGCTTGTACAAACTGTGATGCGACGTCTCAACGTAAAAATCTACGAGAAATAACATCTTCCAATAGCAATTCTTTTTGCGTTGCGAAATCGCATCGCGCCGACACACACGACACAAGCCCTTATTTGGCTAGTAGATTGTAAGAATGTGGAAAATTCACAAAATGCTACACAAACTTACGTCTCTTGCACAGGAAGAAGATTTCTTAGAATGTGGGTAATATTTTTTATCATAAATGTTTTACCTTTGCAGATGCCTACAAGCCACATGAAGGAAGCAGACGACGTCATTCCTTTTCTCGCTGTGAAAGAGAAAGTAACCCAAAAATTGATAGTTAACTCTCAAAATAATTCATAGTGCACACTGATCTCTGTAGTAATCTATAATAGGTAAGAATTAAAATGTATCAATAAATGAACTATGTATAACTTAACTGGTGTTATTTAAGTAATATTTCTTGCTAGCAACTCCAATCCTATAGTGAGTTTTCACTTAGTAGCTATATAATCTTGAGTCGTACATTTTGATGATTCATTGCCTTTAAATACATAATATTTATTTCATTAATTATGATCAATACATAAAATGTTTCATACATTGACGTCATGTCAGTTTCCTAAACAATATCTTTATTTATCTCAGATGTTGTAGATAGATATTTTGATTGATGGATGTAATTAGAAATGTAATGCATCAATGAATGATACTTACGATTTTTATCAACTGCCATCAAGATTTTATCAGTTCGATTTTAACGCGTTAGCGAATTCTTTGTGTTTATAAGGCATTTTTGAATTGTGTACCAGGCTTAGTGGCTAAAGCTTGGTTTATATATTGCTGTCGCGACTGTGTGACGCGCGCCCGCAGTGAGTGTGTGAGCGCGACAGCAACATAATTACACGTGAGCGATAAGGATGGGTAGCTTGGGGTCATTGGACAAAATTCTACGTGCTCACGGACCAGGCTTTAGTACTTTGAAATGACGTTATAGGTGTGAACACACCACAACAAACGAAAAAATACGAACCAGTTTAGTATAAGCCCATAAAAATCTAACAAATGACATTGTAATCTATGCTTAAGTTTAAGGCCGCGATAAATACTGCGTTTGAGCAGCAATATAAAGAATCATAATTTGGTTTTGAGTGTCGTTTCTTATTCAGCTTCATAAGTTACTTCTAGATGATGTATCTTAGCTTAACGCTGTGTGTATCTTATGTAGTAACAGGGTCTATTTTAGTACCAACAAATCAGTAAATGGTGTGAAAGTAGAGAAAATATATTTTCGATTTATGAAAGAAAACGAAGTTCGTGCAAAATAGTTTAGTTTTATCTGTGAAAAAACAGAGCCTTTTTTAGCAGGCAGGAAGTTTGATTTTGGATTGCAAGTGGTTTTTAGGAAATACCTTTAAATACTAATGTGCATGATACAGGCTAGTTTTAGTGTCACGCGGACTGTCAGTGCGAATCGCTCCGCACAGCCGATCTGTATGAACTGCTAGGGAGCGGAGTGATTCCTTCGGACCGCTGTACTCTAAAACGCTCCCTAGAAGTTCATACAGATTGGCCGTGCGGAGCGGGTCCGCACCGGACGGTCCGCGTGACATTAAAACCAGCCACAGATGTTGTCCTTCCGTACATGCATTGTACATTTATCAAGATGCAGATAATAGCACTGCAAACGGTGTAGGACTAGGTATCAGTTTAATATCTTTATAATAATGTTATTATGAGAATGCTCGTCGATTAAGATAATTACAATGTATAAAATTAAAAGTACATATGAGTGAGAATGGCTAATTTACGCATTTTGTGCCTAACTACCTTATTTTATAAAATGAATATGGAAAAATGTTCTGTCTAAAATCTAAATGTTTTGTAAGAAAATATAATTGAAATGTAGATTATAATAAAGCAATATGGACTCTTAAAGCAAATAACGATAATATTAAAAAATAAAACAAACAGTCCTACCTGTTTTTCTGTTATTTTTTCACCTATTTTGTTTTTCCATATTTTTATTTTATTTTACTTACTAAAATGTAATCATTTGTACCTACATTATATCTAAAAGTAGAGAAAAATTACGTTGAAAAAGCGCATTTTATATTTTTCCAGAAAAGTTTCAAAACTGAAATAAATTAAAAAGTCATTGATTTCCTCTTGCCAAATCGTTAGATCCTAATTTTCAAAACTACTGCATTGTTATACGCTAATTAATTATTATCAATACATTAATGATTTATTAAAACCTACTTATCAGCTCCAAGTTCCTGTCTGTATTAACTGTTGCGAGGTGTTTGGCATACAGATCTAGAATCTAGTGAAGGAAGCTTGTGTATACCAGACCTAAATCATTACCAGCGATTGATATTATATTTTTTTATCGCAATCACTTAACGTAAGATACAAAATGCAATCTTGATACATTTTATTTGGTTGCATATTTAAGCTGTGATTTCAATCTCAGTTGTTTCTTCGAGTTTCAAAAGTGTGGTGTTAAAATGTGGTGCACGAAGTTTATAGCGATATTTGTGTTATTAATAGGTAAGTATTTTTATTTATTTTTAAACTTGATGCACTTCTGTGTAATATTAACTGGGTGTTAAGTTACTATTTATTATTTTAATAATGCAACTTCAGTGGCTTTGTTCTACAATATGCAATTTTAATGACTTTGTGCATTTAAACCTGATCGTCGTGATGAAGAAACTCTGCCTACGTTTTTCATAGGATTTTTTCAAAAGCCATAATACAAATCTGAGGATTTATTATTTAGATTCGGTTGCAATAAATCTCATAAGCACACGTTTTTATCAATGCAAGGATGCAGCACCATCCATGCCAACATCGCTGCATTCGACATCCAACTGAAGGACCTTCTGAGTATGCAAGAGGACTTGGCTGGCCGAGCGTGATGCAGGTGGCTAAGGGCCAAGAGGCCTTGATGAAGATCACCTCGACGCCTGATCACCAAGAGACTTGTCAGGTCACCACTCCTACTGGGAAGGTGTTTGATGTGTCCTCCCCTCCTAGCGATAGGTGAGTTAGTATTATTGGCCTCTAAAGATGCATAGAGGTCTTGGCTGGCCGAGCTTGATGCAGGTGGCTACGGGTCAAGAGGCCTTGATGAAGATCACCTCGACGCCTGATCACCAGGAAACCTGTCAGGTCACCACTCCTACTGGGAAGGTGTTTGATGTGTCCTCCCCTCCTAGCGATAGGTGAGTTAGTATTATTGGCCTCTAAAGATGCAAAGAGGTCTTGGCTGGCCGAGCTTGATGCAGGTGGCTACGGGTCAAGAGGCCTTGATGAAGATCACCTCGACGCCTGATCACCAGGAAACCTGTCAGGTCACCACTCCTACTGGGAAGGTGTTTGATGTGTCCTCCCCTCCTAGCGATAGGTGAGTTAGTATTATTGGCCTCTAAAGATGCATAGAGGTCTTGGCTGGCCGAGCTTGATGCAGGTGGCTACGGGTCAAGAGGCCTTGATGAAGATCACCTCGACGCCTGATCACCAGGAAACCTGTCAGGTCACCACTCCTACTGGGAAGGTGTTTGATGTGTCCTCCCCTCCTAGCGATAGGTGAGTTAGTATTATTGACCTCTAAAGATGCAAAGAGGTCTTGGCTGGCCGAGCTTGATGCAGGTGGCTACGGGTCAAGAGGCCTTGATGAAGACCACCTCGACGCCTGATCACCAGGAAACCTGTCAGGTCACCACTCCTACTGGGAAGGTGTTTGATGTGTCCTCCCCTCCTAGCGATAGGTTAGTTAGTATTATGGACCTTATTTATTAATTTGTAAATATCATTTTTTCTTAATTATATTCTAATGATGAATGGTAGGCTGTGGAACTTAAAATGTGAATTATTGTGGTCCAATGTGTGAATAATTATTTATGCAACGTCGAAAACAAAGGTGTTCTGGCTGAGAATATTTCTTCGGAATAAGTCCGCCTTTTATCCAATGACTAGATGTAGAAATTGTCTGTATTGTGGGTTTAAATCGCAGAAGCACCGTTTATTTAGATAGTGTTCGCCATTTTAGTGCCCCGCACCATCAAGCGCCTAAAGCGACTGCTCCTCTCTTTTTAATCCAGAGCAAGTAGGTACTGATCATTAATTTAAATCGGCATTATTGTTATTCCTCTTACACAGATTTTTAAAAACATATCCCTATGTGCAGATTCGAAAAATGGGGTGACGGTTGCGGAGTCAGGGTCCGAAGGATTGAAGAAGGAGACGAGGGTCGCTGGAGACTGAATGCTACGGGCGGTGGCGAGTCCATGACGGGATGGATTGAGGTCTATGTTGAAGGTAATAAAGACTACAATCGCGTTGTCTCTACTTAGTACTTAGTCTCTAGTCAGTACTTGCTGGAGACTGTATTTTCCATCTTTATAAGCTGACATATTTCTTATTTCCAATTGCAGAATACACGTCTTCGTATGCAGCCCCGCCCATTTATCTACAAGATGGCGACACTAACCAGGACATCGAGTTGACTAGTCTCGACAACTCATACTGTCTAGTTGCTCAGCCTTTCTCTGAGAGTTCCTTGATACCAGGGCATTGTCGAGTCACTTTGGATAAGGCGACTAGAGCAGTTCAGGGAGATTGGAGCGTTCTCATTGGTCTACCGGGAAAAATTGCTGAACTGCACATGGATAGGAGAGTGGCAGTAGAAGGTAAGGCTTTTTAATGTGCAAGGAATTTTGGTCCTTCGAATTCTATTTAGGATTAGGATTCTATCTACGATCTAGGATTAGATTAGGTTAAAAGCCGCGGACACGAATGTCTAATTTTAGGACAATAACTCCCAGCTCCATTTGTATACCGTCGGGTTCTAGTGCGTAGGCCCCGCCCTTCTGGTGGAGAAAGTCCCATACTGGCCGTCCTCATCGGCCAATGCATTTCTTTTTGGAAAAAAAGAGCTAAAAGTTTGATTTATATTATCTTTAGAATCTCGACTTTTTTCAGCGTGTTTATCACGCGCCCCTTTTGCGGACACTTCATAACAGTAGCGGTGCAAGCTAATCTCGCATTTAAACTTATGTAATTATAAGTGACCGATAAAAAGTATTATCTTTACAATTATCGTGTCACGACTTATTAAAGTCTACTCTAGCTAGACTAGACTAATAAGTCATTGCTATCTACAAACTAATTACATAGTTTGATGTTTAAGATAGCAAATAGGATATTTGTTCCTAACGAAATAACGATGCAGATAGTATGGTTTTGAGTTCGATTCCTAAGCTGTGCCATGTTGCATGACTCTTACGTTGTTCATAAAGATTGGTAGGAATCTAACCTTAGTTATGCCACACTACAGATGAATTTTGGATGCATTTCGGATTACAACTCTCCCGCCACAGATATTTATATGTAAGACGGACGCAGCGACATCGCTCCGGCGTCATACCGCCGCAATGCATCTTGTGCTTTCTCTCCAATACTGCTTTTTATTGAATAACGAATCATTTATATACAAAAGTGCAAATTATTTTCAGCTGAACGTCTCAACGTGGGTTTCATTCACGACTCTAATACGAACAAAATCCATCTCTTCTGCAACATCCTGCATACAAGCAAGAACATCACGTTCTGCCGTTTCCAGAAGACTAGCAACTCTCTGGGATATAACGTTATGGAGGGCTTGAGTGATGGTGTGCACAGGTAAGCATTAATTTATAGTTTAGCGCTTAAATCGCAAACGTGGTCGACCCAGGCAAAATTGGCGGCGCACTGTAGCGGACGAGGCGAAGAAGATCGGCAAGAAGCGAGATCAAGCGAGAAGCTCAAGACCGAACGAGATGGAGGACTGTTGTGGACGCCCTCTGCGCCATCTAGGGGACATAGGACCATAAGTCAAGTAAGTCAAGCTTAAATCAGTCAGTGCCTGAGGCATGGGAGCGGCACGGGAGGGGTGACATTGACATATTATGACGTAACAGGGCATACAAATCTGAAGTCTCATTAATTCAGGCCCTGAATGAGTTAAGTGCTGGATCTGAGTAAATAAATAAATAAATAAATCTTTAATGTAGTATTTTATGTAGTCTAGACCTATTAATATGTCTAGCCAGAGCATGGGGAGTAAAGGTATCATCCAAATCATCCATTTGTCTCTAGTAAACTAGAGGATCGTCCTGCAGTGAAAACTAAAATGACTTGATGATATGGACTTTGTACTAGTTTTTTTCTGCCACGACTACGCCGCGTGAATGGTTTATCAGGGAAATGTCTTTATCGTGCATCATTAAACATCCGTCCGAGTTCCGAAACAATTAAATTTTTATCTAATCAAAAGCATAAATCAATGAGCATTTAACATTACATCGAAACGCGATAGACACCAAAATTATTGTGGTTTGGTTATAGGGACTATTCTCGCTATCATAGGCGTACTTCTTCCAGCATACCAACAGACCGAAAGGATCTTTTTCTAAATATTATAATCTGGTAAAAATATGACATTACAACCTTACAAACCCAAAGGTAAACTGGTCGAGAATGCTTTAGTGCATTAAGTTCGCCTTATGTTCAAATTTATTTTGGCATAAAAGTTTAAATAAATAAATAAATAAACCTTGTTCCAAGTAACAAAGACGTTTTGCGAAATTCTGGGTTGCAGCACCATCTTACTTTTACTTTGACAAACGTCAAAAATCTGTCAACTATGGAGTTGGGAGTTAACAGGTGTTCTTTGTATGGACAAAGAACACAAGTAAACGTTAAAGTGTCACGAACTATTTGACGCTGACTGTAATAAATTCATCTATGTATTTATCTGTATGGTTACAGTTACTACGGCGATGGCTTCGTTGCCAAACACTGCGGAATGACCATAGAGTCGCCGACTGCCAGCGACTACGGCACGTGGCGATGCTCGGTGGGCTCCCAGCAGTGGGTGGGCAACGCGCTAGTCAGGCAGACTCCCATGCAAGCGCTTATTAACGTCGTGGCCACTCATTATAGTAAGTTTGAATGACTTAAGCTTCAACCACACAAACGCGTGCAGATCGCCATCGCCGGCCGCTTTGAAGCTTTAGATCTGTGGTTTTAGTCATATTGATTGACTACGAACCTTTGAGGCTACGAACGTTTTTCAGGTTTCGGAAGAAAATAAAGATGAAAAAGTTCATATAGCAAAGTTCAGTGAGGAGTGAGACTAAATAAAGTTTGCTTTTACTGGTCTGTCGAGAAAAAGGCTGGAGCCCTTAATTGATCACTAAAATGTTACTACATAGTTGGGTTCCATTGAAAAAGTGGCAGAGCACTGGTGACACCACATTTTTTTTGTTGCAAAATCGGCTTGACTTGCCGACATCTGTACAATGAGGATCATTTCGATTTTTAGCTGTGAATGCAGATTTATAGGGCTAAGAAATCCTTAATACACAGTCCAAAATTTTTTGTTCTACGACAAAAATTGACGAAGTTATGGCCAAATTACTAAAAAAAGTTCACTGACCGCCCGGCGCGGGGACGATGACGTCACTATATCCGATCCGAACGCTGCCGGCGTACTGCGTGGATAGAAAATATTTTTTTCTAGACAAACTATCAGTTTTAGAGAAAAACTTGTAATGACATTTATTCATCAGAATAAAGTAGGCTCATCAACAGCCCTTTANGTAACATAGATAACGAATCATTATAATAGGTACAAAAGTGCAAACTATTTTCAGCTGAACGTCTCAACGTGGGTTTCATTCACGACTCCAATACGAACAAGATCCATCTCTTCTGCAACATCCTGCATACAAGCAAGAACATCACGTTCTGCCGTTTCCAGAAGACTAGCAACTCTCTGGGATATAACGTTATGGAGGGCTTGAGTGATGGTGTGCACAGGTTAGCATTAATTTATAGTATAGCGCTTAAATCGCAAACGTGGTCGACCCAGGCAAAATTGGCGGCGCACTGTAGCGGACGAGGCGAAGAAGATCGGCAAGAAGCGAGATCAAGCGAGAAGCTCAAGACCGAACGAGATGGAGGACTGTTGTGGACGCCCTCTGCCCCATCTAGGGGACATAGGACCATAAGTCAAGTAAGTCAAGCTTAAATCAGTCAGTGCCTGAGGCATGGGAGCGGCACGGGAGGGGTGACATTGACATATTATGACAGGGCATACAAATCTGAAGTCTAATTAATTCAGGCCCTGAATGAGCTAAGTGCTGGATCTAAGTAAATAAATAAATCTTTAATATAGTATTTTATGTAGTCTAGACCTACAAATATGTCTACCCATAGCATGGGGGGTGAAGGTATTATCCAAATCATCCATTTGTCTCTAGTAAACTAAAGAGGGTCGTCCTGCAGTGAAAACTAAAATGACTTGATGATATGAACTTTGTACTAGTATTTTTCTGCCACGACTACGCCGCGTGAATGGTTTATCAGGGAAATGTCTTTATCGTGCGTCTCGCGATTAGGTAAACATCCGTCCGAGTTCCGAAACAATTAAATTTTTATCTAATCAAAAGCATAAATCAATGAGCTTGAAACATTAGATCGAAACGCGATAGACACCAACATTATTGTAGTTTGGTTATAGGGACTATTCTCGCTATCATAGGCGTACTTCTTCCAGCATACCAACAGACAGAAAGGATCTTTTTCTAAATATTATAATCTGGTAAAAATATGACATTACAACCTTGTTCCAAGTAACAAAGACGTTTTGCGAAATTTTTGGCTACTTTAAGGCTGGGTTGCACCATCTTACTTTAACTTTGACAAACGTCAAAAATCTGTCAACTATGGAGTTTGGAGTTAACAGGTGTTCTTTGTATGGACAAAGAACAGAAGTTAACATTATAGTTACGGTCAAAGTTTGATGGTGCAACTCAGCCAAAGTGTCACGAACTATTTGACGCTGACTGTATTATATTCATCTATTTATCTGTATGGTTACAGTTACTACGGCGATGGCTTCGTGGCCAAACACTGCGGTATGACCATAGAGTCGCCGACTGCCAGCGACTACGGCACGTGGCGATGCTCGGTGGGCTCCCAGCAGTGGGTGGGCAACGCGCTAGTCAGGCAGAGTCCCATGCAAGCGCTTATTAACGTCGTGGCCACTCATTATAGTAAGTTTGACCAACGCGTGCAAATCGCCATCGCCGGCCGCTTTGAAGCTTTAGATCTGTGGTTCTAGTCATATTGATTGACTACGAACCTTTGAGGCTACGAACGTTTTTCAGGTTTCGGAAGAAAATAAAGATGAAAAAGTTCATATAGCAAAGTTCAGTGAGGAGTGAGACTAAATAAAGTTTGCTTTTACGGGTCTGTCGAGAAAAGGGTTGAAGCCCTTAATTGATCACTAAAATGTTACTACATAGTTGGGTTCCATTGAAAAAGTGGCAGAGCACTGGTGACACCACATTTTTTTTTGTTGCAAAATCGGCTTTATTACAACTAATTAAAATACCACGGTGTTAAAGTTGACTTGCCGACATCTGTACAATTCGATCGGTCTCTGATCTCTGGTCTTCTGATACTAAATAGACGTGCATATACACATTTCTGATACACATTTAAATTCTAGTTCTTTTTTCTTAGCTGCTCCAAGGGCGTTAGAAGAAGAGAAAGCAGACGCGGACATAAGAACAGTATTCGTGCAAGAAGACAGAAGCTTCACAGTGACGTGTCGCGCCGAGCAGTCGCTGTCTTACTGCTGGTTCTTACACCCCAATGGCACTCAGTTCTCAGCGGTGCCGCTGCTTGACGAAAATCAACCTTTTTGGTAAGAGTATAGTGTGCGTAGTGTGAGTTTACATCAAACGCATTCGATATCGACTCCGTTAAAAATGTATGAAGATTTTAGTTTTTGAAAGTTTCCGCAAGGGGTGCTGTACAATCCGACATACATTTAATGTCACTTTTTTACGCAGTCGATATCGAATGTGGTTGACGTAAACTCACACTACGCCCCCAGTTCTCATTATTTGGCTGGATGATTTGCATACTAAAATTGCTTATTATCCAGAGGTTGAAAGTTCGATGCTCGTACAGTACAAACATTTGTGACTATTAATTTTTTGTTGATATTTTTTATCCTCACGCGGGCNCCAATAGGCAAATATTTTTTTCAGCCAAAGTATAATAGTGCGAAAACAACTTTCAGGCTAAACAATAATCTAGTTGTGAGTTAAAAGTACCTATCGGCCAATGTGGTTTGGCTAAATGAAATTTTAGGCGTACTGAAGGGCACCCGATCACACGACCGCGCTTGTGCCGCTTAGTTTTATACATTTCCTAATACAATATTGGAATTCTATAAAATTCCTAGGAAGAGTATACATGTCCTAGGATATGAAGGCTCTGAAGCAATATTTTATACATTTCCTAAATAGCTTCGGAATTGTATACATTTCCTAGGAATAGTATACAATTCCTAGAATTCATACATTTCCTGTAACATATACATGTCTCATTCTTTTTTTTCCCTACCAGCGCTTCGAGTCCAACATTTGGCAAGTGCTGAGAAGAAGCGCCGCAACAAACTCAGTCATCACTGTCTGCCGGTTTAAAAATATTCACATTCTTATCTGAGATGGCTCGATGCTATTGACGATTTAATATTCCCTTCGAAGCAATAATGTACATTCTTTTCGTTTAATTATTGTGTCCATTCAACCCCATAATGTCCTAAGTAAACTGAAACACGAAGTGTCCAAACTTTGAGTGACCCACGGAAATCGATACCACAGTAGATATATGAGCTAACTACTGTGTCGATACGGTATTCCACCGAATTGAGTGAGTCCTCTCCAAATACTTGACCATAGAGTATTATTACTTATTTTTATTAATTTACTATGCCTGCAAGACTCTTAACTACTAGCTTTTCCCGCAATTTCACCCGAAAACTACAGAATACATAATACAGAACATCTGTATTCTGAGCCCGAAAACAAAAGTGAACAAATTATTCAGTGCCGAATAAATACCAGTTTTTTGTCTTTACCGTTGGAACAAATGGATGACGATGATAGTCATAAATTAAAAAGAAGTTTTTATATGAGAAGCCTTTTTTTAATACTCATTTCTTTTGTCATAGTCTATACCTACGTACCGACATTTTATTTTAATTATTTCTATAGAGTTCAAATGTAGAGGTTGCTATGATTGATTTGCTACGAGCATTTTCAAATTGTAGTAGATTTAACATTACTTTTAGGTTTTTCGTAAATCTAAACCGCGTAAGATAGACCCTTGAAATTTGGCATGCAGGTACCTTAGTAAACTTAAAGCTTAGTTACAACAGGATATTGCAAAATTCCCACGGGAACGGGAGTTAGCGGGAAAAAACATTTGTATGAAAAAATCTAAACCGCGTGAGATATGTAGATGAAGGGGGTGAAACGGGATCTACGCGTACGAAGTCACGGGCGGCAGCTAGTTGGATTATACGAGTACATTCCAATACAATACATTTCAGTTTCAGTTATCATGTGGTCGTTCTTTTATAAACCACTAGTCATTCACAATCTAAAATTCACGATAAAACTATTGTTAATCCAACAAACTATCGAGTCCGGGGCTTAAATCGATTTCAATTATATACCACTTAGGCGAAGGACCACATTCATTCACTGTAATTACAACACAAAGCATTAATTAAATTCTAAATCAGTGTGAGGGTTGGATCGCTTCCCGGCGACGGGTAACGGGTTCACTTGCCCCTACCCTTTGTTCTATTTGTTTTTCATAGAAGTCTAATGTGATTCTATAAGTAAATCTCCTTTTTGCGAGTGTTCCACTGATGGATGATGTCAGTCATGAGCAGCCTGCCCACCATATCTTGTGGGAGTGTGATCTTTGGAAACATGAACGTGATATAATGCTTAATTCAATACAACATACTTACATCTGTTTCCGATATTTATTACACGATCTTGTCGCGACAAGGAAAAATTTCCGTTTTAAGCGATTTTGTGAAAAATATTATTGGCAGGTAGTTGCTAATTGCTCATAAATAAGATAGGCCCCCATAATTGATATTTATTGTCCGTGGTGCATAATCTTTTCTTAAAGGTTTTAAACCTCTGTTTGTCACCTGTCATCTGCTTTGCAATGGAGGGAAGTCGAACCTTAATTTCGAACTCCTCTTATGTTCCTCTGATTAACTTCGTTGCGGGTCCAATGACAGTTTAACTTTCCCCCGGGACAAACTTGACCTTCTTTGGTTGGGTTTTTATGGCGGTCAAGCTAGATCCTGGCTACACGGGAGTTGCAGTGGTGGGAACGAGAGGTGGGAATAGTCCAGAAAGTAAGGGAGTTATGAATACACTATAACTACTTTCCGTAACTGTAATTACGGTTTAGTCATGGCAACTATTGGCAGTTGATCATGATCATCATTTGACTGTAGTTCGTCATCAGCAGTGGACGTCCTACAGGACATGAACATCTCCCCACACGATTTCTATATCACCCGGTTGGTAGCGGCCTGCATCCAGCGTCTTCCTGCTATCTTTATATGGTCGTCGGTCCACGTTGTAGGTAGACGTCCCATGCTGCGCTTTCCGGTACGCGGCCTCCACTCCAGAACCTTGCTGCCCCATCGGCCGACTCTGAGTACTATGTGCTCTGCCCATTGCCACTTCAGCTTGCTAATCCGTCGGCTACGTCAGCGACTTTAGTTCGTATACGGATCTCCTAAATATTCCATAATCCAAGGATGGAAATCGAAATACCGACCCTCAAATCGAAAGTCCGACGCCGACACTGTTGGATTCAGGTAGAAGTAAATATCCATGGACTTTATACACAACCCCAATGTTAAAGACTTTTTAAGCATCTTTATTCTATTATGAAATATGTATTATTATGTTCAATACAAACAATCATTAAGTTACACTCACCCCAACCGCGTCTCCGCATTGCATCGAATCCTATGAAAATGTGGTTTTTGGACATAGCGATACTTAGTTAAGTTAAGTTAAGATGAAACAGCTCTTTTACATAGTTATTAAATTTAAAAAAAAAATTTAATAACTATGTAAAAGAGCTGTTTCATCTTAACTGACAGTTAAATATTTGCAACAATATTTCTGTTAGATGTAGGGTAGGTATACTTAACATTGATGAAACAAACGCTGGCTGTAACAGCGTATTACACTTGAAAATTTCGACGGGTTCATCCAGTGTCTAAGTAGCTCAGTTGGAAGAGCAGTCGCCCGGCAAGCGAAAGGTCGTGGGTTCAATTCCCGCCTTAGGCAGTTCGATTTTTTCATAGCGATACTTATTTTTCACAATTTTTATTTTTAAAAATTACTGGTCGATAGGTTACTTTATTTTGATGAATAAATGTTATTAAAAGTTTTTTTCTAAAACTGATAGTTTAGCTGGAAAAAAATATTTTCCATCCCAATAGTACGCCGGCTGCGCTCGATTCGGATATAATGACGTTACGCGGCCCTGCGTACGTTGACTTTTAGCGGCAAAAACGGTCTATGTTTATTACTTAATATCTTCGTAAGTAATGGTCCGATTTGGATAATTAAAAAAACAAAAAGATATATCTTTCTTATGTCTTAAAGATTAACGTAGATACTAGTTTTATTGAATTTTCTACAACAGTACTGATCCTCATTCGATCGGTCTCTGATCTCTGGTCTTCTGATACTAAATAGACCTGCATAGACACATTTCTGATACACATTTAAATTCTAGTACTTTTTTCATAGCTGCTCCAAGGGCATTAGAAGAAGAGAAAGCAGACGCGGAAATAAGGACAGTATTCGTTCAAGAAGACAGAAGCTTCACAGTGACGTGTCGCGCTGAGCAGTCGCTGTCTTACTGCTGGTTCTTACACCCCAATGGAACACAGTTCTCAGCGGTGCCGCTGCTTGACGAAAATCAACCTTTTTGGTAAGGGCATAGTTCTCACTATTAGTTAAAGTAGCTGGATGACTTGCATACTAAAATTGCTTATTGTACCAAGAGAGTACAAACACTTGTGACTATGCATTTTTTGTTCATACTTTTTTACTCACGCGGGCAATAGCTACTAGTATGTATGTAACCTAACAAAACCCAAAGTAGTTTTGCTTGCTTTGCTTAGTTTGTTTATTTTTAAATTCCATTTTTTGCTATTCTATGTTTTTGTTGCTTGAACTTGTAGTTCATTACCCCATTGCCCTCTAGTTTGTAAAACTTTGCATATTTCATTTATTTATTGGCTATAAAACCTTATTTTTTCTAGAATAAGTTTGGCTTTTAACACGCTTACTTTGTTTTTTTTATTTATTTATTTAAGGCATCAAACAGTCATGTATAGTTACAAGTTTTACATAAATATTAAGTTTTTACAATAGACTAAACAGTGCCTGTAATTGTACATTATTGTTAAAAAAATAGTTCAACAGACGCGTATCAGTTTGCTAAACAAATAAAAGTACAGATAGAAACAAGAGAACAGAAGAATAAAATAAAACAACATTAATATAAATGGGGTGAATTTAAACAGGTACCCACATTTACCAATTAAATACAAATCCCTAATTATGTATTAAATACAAGTTCAAAATATACATAATGTTTCCAAAATAAAAGTATTTATGTGCTATCAATGCTATATTGGTGTATTCCTTATTGTAAGTGTTAGTGGAACGAAAAGTAAATGAGTTAGCTGTATATTTTTTACGATAAAGCGTACAGACATAGCATAGACAATAGCTTACGTTTTGTAACCACTAATAAAGTAGGTACTAATTTAACTCCTCCAGGTATACAGGTGAGAGCCTTCAAACCGGCGATTGTGGGATCACCTTTTCACACGCCTCCGAAAGCGATTCTGGGGACTGGGTGTGCCATATGGGCGTGACAGACCAACGTGGAATCGAACTTACGGACCGAGTTATCGTTCGCGTCACTGGTCCACTGGCCGCTAATAAGAAAGAGATAGGTGTCCAAGTAGGATATAATGCTACTTTGTACTGCCATACGTCGAATGGCAACCGGCCTTTGGACTACTGCCGGTTCTTAAGTCCGAACTATGTGGGGATCAGCATCGATTCTACTGTGACTTCGGATGCGTAAGTTAAGGTTTATACTGTTTATTTGATAAGCATGTACGTCATACAGATTTTGGCAATCGTAAGCTGGGAAATCCCACTTATTAATATGCAATTCTTGCATACACGCTGAATGCAGACCGCTTACAACCGGCCAATCTGAAAATCACTATAAGGACAAGAAATGATGATGCATTTAAACATCTGGGGGCACGGCAGTGCCCCCACCAAGTCGTGCAAAAAAGCGGCACGGCCGTACCATCCTTTTCTCGAAGCAATTCGACCGCCTGTAACTTCGTTGTGGATAAAACTAGAAGGCTGAATTTTCATTAGCTATGCAGGCATTATAAAGACACGGTATATTTAAAATTTCATTCAATTTGAACCAGTAGTTTAAGAATTATAACGGATCAAAGTTACATAATTTTGTCACTCACTGACTGACTCACTGACTGACTCACTGACTCACCGATCATCAAAACTCTAAGGCACTTCTAGCAGACCTAGAAGCTTCAAATTTGGAATATAAGTAGTGTTTGGTGTATGAATCAAGGAAAAACTAAAATATTTGGGGGCACGGTAGTGCAACCGCCAAGTCGAGTAAAATTTTTCAATTTCGGTCCAGTTTTCTAGATACATAACTGCTGTCTACAAAATACAAAAAGAAATGAGATCCCATCAAAAACAATACTTGTCAAAAAAACCAAGTCTCGCAACTCAGTTGTTCTACGGTAAAAAGTTGTGAGATCCATGTAATACCAAGTCCAGGCCAGGAAATCTTTAACGTTTTACATAAATATATTGACTTGGCCATCGCATGAAAACACGTGTAAATTAAATTATTTAGTTAACACACGACGATCCAGTCACGGCCTCACTCTATCTCCAGGAAAGCCTGACGGAAATGGAGAAATGGTACCATTCGTGGCGTAATAAAGCGAACGGAGAAAAATCTGTGCATGTTCATGTAACCTTCACTCTCAGAAGAAACTCCTGCCCACCGGTTAAACTTAATGGTATCCAAATACCTCAGGCTGAGCCGCTGAGGACGTTAGGTATCAGGGCTTGCACTTGGACCGCAGGCTAACCTGGAGAAAGCAAATAATATGGACAAAGAGGAAGCACCTAGATGCCAAACTAAGAAACATGATGTGGCTTGTCGGAGGCCAGTCACAGCTGAGCACCAGTAGCAAAATGATGGTCTTCAAAACTATTATTAAACCTATCTGGACCTACGGGATAAAGCTGTGGGGAACAGCTGCCAACTCCAATCTCGACATAATCGAGCGCTTCCAGACAAAAGCCATACGTTTTACGACCAAATCCCGTGGTATATCAGCAACAGGCTCATCTATCAGGACTTGCCATTACCCACAGTCAGGGAGGAAATAAAGAGCCACTCACTCCGTTACAAGAATAAACTTTCAAATCATCCAAACTCATCAGTCCAACAACTCATGACCATTGAAGGCTTCCTATTGAGCAGACTGCAAAGAGCTAGTGTCAGGAGTCTCCTTAGTAGATTCCAGGACAGTTGAGAAACCATGACCACTGAGGGCAACTGAGTCACTGGACTCCTGCTGATTTACTACAAACAAAAAATCTCATTACAACAGGAGATAACTACACCATTACACTAGCACCATCGGAAACCATATGCCTGGCACTTTAACCTTTTTCGCAAATATTGGTTGCCATTTGAAGGGATATCTGTGATTGCGCGCACTTGTCCATTCATCTAACCTTACCGCTAACTTCTTGCCTGCAGTTTTAATAGTTTAAGTTTTATTAAGTAGTTTGCGGTCAGATATTTTTACAAGTTTTTAATAGGAAAGGAGTATTCGTATTGTTCGAAAAGACCGAATAATTATATAGATGCTATTCGAATAATAAATGTGGCGAATATCCGAATAATATGGATATCCGGATATCCGAATTGCATGCCCTACTCATACCTCAGTCAGGCGTCAGGCGCCACGGGAGGAGTCTCACTGATATTGACGCCAACAAAAACACCCGTTTTTGTTGGCGTCAAATATCAGTGAGACTCCTCCCGTGGCGCTCCTATACCTCAGGTACTGACTGATTTAAGCGCTAGGCTTATAGTAAGAAGGCAATGTAGTTTGTGATGAAGAAAATTGGACCAAATTGCACTTGATTTGGACTTAGTTGATATCGTTCATATTCTTATGCTCAACTTTCGATTAACTTGTAAAGTTTATCTGTGGAAACTGATTAGGCTACTGTACTGTTTTTATTTTTTAAGTTCACATGTCTAAACTCATTCTGTTTGTTTCCTTAACACTTTCCTGGACAGTGAACTGCTATATACGTCATAACAATTAAGTAAACAGCCTTATATTGGCTTTGTGTCTGGGTTACTGCCCGGGAGTGTTAGTAAAGAAAAAAAAAATAACACGTCTAAAAAACTAACAATAATAACATTTTAGGGCGATATTGGGTCGATACTACTTCACGCCCGGTCGCAGTCTGGACTATGGGGATTGTTCGCTGACCATCTCGAGTGTCGAACCTGAGGACATCGGCGCTTGGACGTGTGCGGCGCTGATCAATACTGATACTTTGGAGTCGAAGGACGATATGACGCTTTTCGTGGATGAGACGAGTGAGTCAACTTCTACATATTTTATGTGTTTAACACTTTCCCGGACAGAAACCCAGACACAATAGAAGTTTAATTGTTATGACGGCTAAAGCAGGTCACTGTCTAGAAAAGTGTTAAGGCATAATTTTTTTGGAGTTCTGTGTTTTATGTTTAGAGAGTGTTGGGAAGAAATACTGAATTTCATTTTTTATGTTACTTTATTGTGGTATTATTGGTGTTATTGTCGTTACGCTAACTAAGCTAAATTCTTATATGCTTGTGAGGGGTTCACTACATTATTACCATGTTTTTTTTTGCTTTGGTGTGATCATCAGTTATGCTTGAAATAAAGTCAATTTCGTATAAATACGAGAATGCTGTTCTAATTTTCATATTTCATATTGCATGCTAAGTACTCATATGAATAACATATCTTTTGCCTTGTTGTTGTGTGCCTAAAGCGCTTTGCCTTCTCCCCCGATCATAATTTCTGCTCAGTTCTTTATTAAACGTCTGTCAACTCCATAACACTATCATTATTCCCAATCTAATTGGCATTGAAATTTCAGTTCAGACTCCCAGGACGCTGTCACAAGCTGGCATCGTAGGTATGGCTGTTGGAGCTCTAGCATTAGTAGTGCTACTAGCTGGCGTGATATGGTACAAGAAGGGAACGCTATGGAGAAGGAACCATGAGTCTTCCAGCACTGGCAACGTGCCCTTCGACCTCATGTCAATGAGTTCTCCTTCAGTGCCCAGGAGTAGTAATTCCACCACAAGTAGCCAAGGAAATAGTATTAACGAAGAAGGGACGAGCGGGGATATGGGTGTGACGAGAAACCCTGATGTTAGGACTGAGACGATACCCTAAATTGATCCGTTGGATAAGGCCGGACAGAGAAATATACGAAAACTTTATGAAATAAAGTGTGTTTTATAAGATATTTTAACTTGTTTTTATTCAAGTAGCAGGAAGTTATTGGTCTGTTATGTACATATACTACAAGCCTTTGCTTAGTTCAGGACCCGGTTGTGCTCTGTTCTTGGACACATGCCTATGCATTTACTCGTATTTGCCTTACACAAGGTAAGACGGTAGCAATATTTAGGCAAAAAACAATTAGTGCGGCAATGTAACGTCGTCGTCCTATGTCGATCGATATAGATCAGGTGATTATACGTAAATAAATTAGATTATTTATCTTTTAACATTAATGTCACATTGGCTTAGTAATCAAACAAAGATCCGTAGATTTGAATAATTGCAATTTTATCATTATTATTCTTAGAAATATCTCAATGTTAATTTTCGTTGCGTGTAAAAGCGAAAAATAATTTGTCAGTATCGTGGATGGTTCTCATTCTTGTGAGAAATAATAAAAAGTAGGATGTTTAAAAAGCATTTATTGTTGCTTTTTAACAATAAAAAGTCTCACTAACAATCAATTATTAACATACAATTGTGCGAACTTGAGTATATACCAATTATGTACTATTTGATTGTATCACAGTAAAACTGCATTTCATGCCTTTTAAACTGTAGTTCCATCTTTTGTGAAGTTCTGACATGCATTTTAATGGTAATCCATTTGTAATACTTTGCCAAACAAAAACAAGATGCATTAAATTAGTAAATGAACGACTATGATTTTAATAAAGTAAAATCATCTCAATAAAATAAATAGCTTTCACATCGCATGAATGCAGTCGTAAGTTACTTTGACGTATACCACACCTGTTAACATAAGGTACTTAAATTTAATTAACTATAATATAATATATTTATCACATTATAGCCGGTCTTTGTAGCCTATGACCATTTTTCCGATCGGGACGTTCGCGAAGAATTTGTTCATCGCCTTGACACAGGTGATGACGATTTGCTTGATCGCTGGCGGCGCTAGTTCGTCCATAAGCTGCCTCCAGTTTTCGTTTGCGAATTTAAGAGTAGTCTCCGCTGGAATAATAATTTTAATTAGTGTTTTTGTAATACAGTGCTTTAATTTGTTATGTTCAAATCTTAGATTTGTGAGGTGTCAAGAGATTGTGTACACGGTCTATTCCACTTTGATCACCTGGATTAAATCACCTATAATAGAGATCACCTCATCCATGGGTGATCAAGACACCAAAGTATCGCCTATGATCACTTGGGTGATCTAATTCAGGTGATCAAAGTGGAATGGACCAAAGCTAAATATTATACGCAAAAGGCAATAAATGTGCGCACATATTTTAATGTCTTCGACAAAGTTTGTCAACAGGAAGCCAAATTATAGGAGTGCCTAATTATCATTTGTTCACAACTATACGTTAACTTATTAAGTTAATAATATTCATAGTTTATGACTAATAAATTATGTTTTATCAAAGACGCGGTCTCTTACTATGGGCCCCATAAGGATCTTCAGCGAGTTGTAAAGGGCCGTACTCTACGTTTCTTTGGCCAGTCCAGTGGCAATAGTTAATGTTTTTTTAAGAGACGCGCGCTGGTAACTCGAAGAGCTTTTCCAGCTTCACCGGGCACAGTGGCGAGTACAGAAGGTACTCTAGCCGTTTAACGATCGTCGGTGCGCGTACCGACGAAGCCGAGTGTGAGCTTCACGAAGCAACGAGGCTCATCGGGCAACATTGGGGTCCTATGGTATGAGATACTGTTAATAATATTTTCCTGTTATATTACCCAATTGCTTGTTGCCATTGAATAGGTTCTTCAAGTCGAATGTGGTGCGCTCGATGTCATATTTGTACATGGGTGTGACCAGTTTGAAGTGCTCCCCCTTGCTGTTCTTCACGTGAATGAGTTTGCTGTCGATTCGTACTTGAACTCCCTCTGAAAAATAAAGACTTTTTAATTTTGGGAATATTTTAATGTCTAACGGTAGAGAGTCCACAGCATATAGAGCTATACTTTTTGTTGCAAAATAGCTTTTATTAAAACTAGGTATACATACAGGCTGTTAGGTAAATGGGTAGGTATATGATATGAGCCGACACTAGCCCATGATAACATATGCATATAAATGGTATGATGAAGTCAGAAATTTGATACCATCATTTAAATTTTTTAAATGTTCATACAAAATAAAATTTATAAAATCAGATTTGTATGAAAATTAAAATGATGATATACATTTTCTGACTTCACCATACCATTTATTGCATTATGTTAACATGGGCTAGTGTCGGCTCATGCCTCATATACCTACCCATTTACCTAACACTCCGTATAAGATGTCACAGAGTTTAGGTTGAAGTGCCGTCATCTGTACCACCAAACAACTTAACTATTTAGAAGCACGTGTATTGTTAATTGTTATTATGTACATAACTATGTTAACGAAGGGGTTACGGGAAGTTAAAGTAATTAAATTTTTCACACGAACTCGTGGTTTTCCGCAAAGTAACGCTTGATACCATTAATTATTTAAAAAATAAAATGTTCCTAATGGTTCCGTACTTAGCTAATGTATAAACGTGATCATACAATGGGTTAACCATCATTGTTTACGATGTTTTTATGAAACGATGGAAATATTTATTTCTAATAAGAAGAGAAGAGCACCTTTTCAATGAAGAATGTTCACTAATTTTGTTTTTTAGCTTTCTGTATTCTCTGTTAAAAATAAAAAATACACGTGAAAGAATTATTTCGATACGTCAATTAGTTTCCAAGATATTGAATTTTAAAAGTGCGGGCGGCGGCCAATCCGCCATTTTATGCGCGTGACGTCATATTACAGTGACTGGCTCATATTTTTATGGGTGGAATCCTGCAAGCTGAATTAAGACCCACTTCCAGGCAACCGATTAAGCTGAAATTTCGCAAACACATGTGATTTGGATGACCATGCAATATTATGATGACATGGAGCTGATCTGATGATGGAGCTGGAAGGTGGCCATAGGAACTCTATAATAAAACGACTTAAATCCACCGAGTTTGGGCTCGTTCGTTTTGTATTGATGAGTACTTTAATTCTATATAGTAATCAGGGTCTAATGATGGAGCTGGAAGGTAATTCGCAATAAAACGACACAATCGCATCAAGTTTGGGTTTGGTTCAATTTTAATTTCTGTGATGGGTCTGGGTGTTAATATGTATAATAAGTATGTATTTACAAAAAAAATGTAGGTATTTAATTTTTAAATTTTAGTTTTTAGTCATTTTAAGTTAATGTAATATTATAAAATTTATTCTCTAATAAACAACTATTCTCGACAATGGTCGAATATCAAGAATTGCACTTCAAAACAACTTTTATCGTTGTAAAATAAATAATCATTGTTTATATTTACCTTTTAATTGTAAGTGGTATTTAAGTATGTTTATATCCGTTTTCAACCGACTTCAAAAAGGAGGAGGTTCTCAATTNATATCTGTGCTGCTACCAGTACCGGGGGTGAAGTGAAGTATGTGAGTTGTGATGTGAGCGACAAGGAAGCGGTGCGTGGCGGACGCGCCGCGCTTCAGGCCGCTTGCTATAATAAACCATGCGCGGGACGCGCCGCGCTTCAAGCCGATTGCCACTCTAAACTATCGGTGTGCACTCACACAAATGCAATTCTCAGCTTAAGTTGAGAGGACTGTACCTATTTATATAATGTAACCTATCAAAACCTTTGCTTAGTTTGTTTATTTTTAAATTCCATTTTTTGCTATTCTATGTTTTTGTTGCTTGAACTTGTAGTTCATTACCCTATTGCCCTCTACTTGGTAAAGCTTTGCATATTTTCATTTATTTATGGGCTATAAACATTTAATAACTTTTTTTCTAGAATAAGTTTGTCTTTTTATAAAACACGCTTACGTTTTGTAACGACAAATAAAGTACTAATTTAACTCCTCCAGGTACACAGGTGAGAGCCTTCAAACCGGCGACTGTGGGATCACCTTTTCCCACGCCTCCGAAAGCGATTCTGGGGACTGGGTGTGCCATATGGGCGTGACAGACCAACGAGGAATCGAACTTACGGACCGAGTTAACGTTCGCGTCACTGGTCCACTGGCCGCTAATAAGAAAGAGATAGGTGTCCAAGTAGGATATAATGCTACATTGTACTGCCATACATCGAATGGCAACCGGCCTTTGGACTACTGCCGGTTCTTAAGTCCGAACTATGTGGGGATCAGCATCGATTCTACTGTGACTTCGGATGCGTAAGTTTACGTTTATAATCTCTGAGTGTACATACGACATACAGCTTTTGGTAGATACTTTATTTATTGGAAAATCTGAAACTGGGAAATTTACACTTATCATTAAATGAAACGAAGTTAAGTAAGTAAATACCTGCATCTTTTTGAATTCTTGAGTTTCTAGCGTTACTACAGTAAAGCTATGTAAACTGCAATGACAGTCGCATTTCACTAATTTCATTTTCACTAATTTAATTTAACTAAATCTTTCAAGGTCAAAAGAACTTTATTTATGTTTTTAATTACGATTGTATAGCGCTTTTAAATCATTAGATTTTAGGTCAATTGGGACTTAGTTGATATCGTACATATTTAAAGCTCATAAAAAGGTCACAAAGAGACATTTAAAAACGAACAATAACATTTTAGGGCGATACTGGGTCGATACTACTTCACGCCCGGTCGCAGTCTGGACTATGGGGATTGTTCGCTGACCATCTCGAGTGTCGAATCTGAGGACATCGGCGCTTGGACGTGTGCGGCGCTGATCAATACTGATACTTTGGAGTCGAAGGACGATATGACGCTTTTCGTGGATGAGACGAGTGAGTCAACTTCTACATAATGTGTTTAACACTTTCCCGGACAGAAACCCAGACACGATAGAAGTTTAATTGTTATGACGGCTATAGCAGCTCACTGTCTAGAAAAGTGTTAAGGCATAATTTTTTTGGAGTTCTGTGTTTTATGTTTCGAGGGTGTTGGGAAGAAATACTGAATTTCATTTTTTATGTTACTTTATTGTGGTGTTATTGGTGTTATTGTCGTTACGCTAACTAAGCTAAATTCTTATATGCTTGTGAGGGGTTCACTACATTATTACCATGTTTTTTTTTGCTTTGGTGTGATCAGTTATGCTTTAAATAAAGTCAATTTCGTATAAATACGAGAATGCTGTTCTAATTTTCATATTTCATATTGCATGCTAAGTACTCATATGAATAACATATCTTTTGCCTTGTTGTTGTGTGCCTAAAGCGCTTTGCCTTCTCCCCCGATCATAATTTCTGCTCAGTTCTTTATTAAACGTCTGTCAACTCCATAACACTATCATTATTCCCAATCTAATTGGCATTGAAATTTCAGTTCAGACCCCTAGGACGCTGTCACAAGCTGGCATTGTAGGTATGGCTGTTGCAGCTCTAGCATTAGTAGTGCTACTAGCTGGCGTGATATGGTACAAGAAGGGAACGCTATGGAGAAGGAACCGAGGGTCTTCAAGCACTGGCAACGTGCCCTTCGACCTCATGTCAATGAGTTCTCCTTCAGTGCCCAGGAGTAGTAATTCCACCACAAGTAGCCAAGGCAATAGTGTTAACGAAGAAGGGACGAGCGGGGATATGGGTGTGACGAGAAACCCTGATGTTAGGACTGAGACGATACCCTGAATTGATCCGTTTGATGATATACGGACAGAGAAATATACGGAAACTTTATGAAATAAAGTGTGTTGTACAAGATATTTTAACTTGTTTTTATTTAATTTGTTGCTTGTTTTTATTCAAGTAGCAGAAAGTTATTGGTCTGTTATGTATACTACAAGCCTTTGCTTAGTCCAGGACTTGATTGTGCTCTGTAAATGTGTCCAAGCTATCTTGGATACATACCTATGCATTTCGGTATGTATCCAAGATAGCTTTGTCGGCCGTTTGGTGTAGTGGTTCAGAACGGACTACTATGCCGAGAGGTTCCGGGTTCAATTCCCGGCCGGGCAGAAATTGAAATGATGAATTTTAATTTCTGTGACGGGTCTGGGTGTAAATATGTATAATATGTATGTATTTAATAAAAATAAAGTATATAAGTAGTATATCCGTTAAGCTAGCACCCATAACACAAGCATTGAGTTGCTTACTTTGGGGCTAGCTGGCGCTGTGTGAAATTGTCCAAAGATTTATTTATTTATTTATATATTATAGCCGCCCTAGGGGGCGCTGTTTAATTTTTCATACAAAATTTTTCGATGACACTTTGAATACGCAACGAAACGAACTCGAAAGTTTTTCCTACTAGAGGTACAGGTGATTACACGTAAATAAATTAGATTAAATTTTATCTTTTAACATTAATGTCACATTGGCTTAGTAATCAAACAAAGATCCGTAGATTTGAATAANCGGCGGCTAAATGAAAGTGATCTAAGTACTGACTACGTCATTTTAAATATGTATAGGAATAATAAAATGTTAAAGATAATTTAAATACATAGGTATACAAGATGCTGATTATCTATTTTTTCTATATTTATTTGTCTGATTTATCTATTTATTCTAGATTTATTATATACTTCGAGATATACATAGGTATTTTTATTATGTATTAGTAGGTAATAATAATAATAAAATAACGCACTTAGGTATAGGAAATCACAAGTAGAGATGAAACGGATATCCGGTAACTATCCGGTAGGCCGGATATCCGGCCTAAATTTACTATCCGGCCGGATACCGGATAGTAATTAGTAACTCACTATCCGGCCGGATACCGGATATTAAAAAACTACGTCAATTTCCTATTAATAAAATGAAATGCATTAATCTTTGAGGTAAATGTCAATTAAATGGCTTATAATAATGACGGCTTCTTTATAAAGTCCAAAAAGTTACAAAAAAGCCATATTAAAGCCTTTCAAAAAACTAATTTCTTTTTCTGGGATATTCACTCTAATGAAGAATACATAAATAGTAAATATCTGTTAATGTCGAAATATTGTCAAATAAAATAGGCGATCTTTTTTTCACTGATTTCAGTCAGATTACGCAGCAAGTAAACTAATTTAATTTTCGCTATTCAATCACACACTCACGATGGCAACCGAAATCGCCCGAATTGATCTACCTCCTAGACAAGTGGCAAAATCTGACATTCTATTCGGACGTATTCGATTTTCGAAAAGTGTGACTAGTCTACTCCTGGAGCGCGCGTGCGGCGAGTACCTGTGTGGCGCTAAACTCGTCACGACATGCAACGAGACAATTGGCCAACTATCCGGCCGCCGGATATCCGGCTATCCGGCCTAGCAGCTGGCCGGATATCCGGTATCCGGTATCCGGCCAAACAACTATCCGTTTCATCTCTAATCACAAGACATTTCTTGGAAACCATCACATCACTTTTGTGCATTTTGCGTTTCGATTGGTAATTAATCTACAGAGTACCCCGTTTGGTATATTGGTTTTGGTTGGTATGAGTTTTTTTTTATCTCATTGGTGTCCACAAAAAATCGGAATTTTACCCAGGGAATTTTCGATTCATCCAGCTCAATCATCTCGTCGCGAATAAGTTTAGGTAAATTGATAGGTACCACCTATTTCGATCCCTGATAATAATATATAAAATATACCTACAGGTGTTTGGTAGAACTTTAGACAAACTTCGTATGTAAGGTCATTTTGAATAAAGGTTCGCCATTTGACTCCAAATGAGCTACTTTTTATTTTTGATATTTTTATTAAAAAAAAAAACGAATTTTGACCTAAAGCTGCTTCTTTTTTTGTCGCGTTTTCAACCGATTTTTTTTATTTGGTTTGAAGATCCAATATCCCCAGGCCAGAAACTGGGTATTAGCATCATATTATGTATTATTATGTTCAATACAAACAATCATTAAGTTACACTCACCCCAACCGCGTCTCCGCATTGCATCGAATCCTATGAAAATGTGGTTTTTGGACATAGCAATACTTATTTTTCACAATTTTTATTTTTAAAAATTACTGGTCGATAGGTTACTTTATTTTGAAGAATAAATGTTATTAAAAGTTTTTTTCTAAAACTGATAGTTTAGCCGGAAAAAAATATTTTCCATCCCATTAGTACGCCGGCTGCGCTCGATTCGGATATAATGACGTCACGCGGCCTTGCGTACGTTGACTTTTAGCGGCAAAAACGGCCTATGTTTATTACTTAATATCTTCGTAAGTAATGGTCCGATTTGGATAATTCAAAAAGATATATCTTTCTTATGTCTTAAAGATTAACGTAGATACTAGTTTTATTGAATTTTCTACAACAGTACTGATCCTCATTCAGTCGGTGCCTACTCTTAAGATTATGACTGTCGTAATATAATTTATCTGTATTATTGAAATTAAATCCTTAATTTTTTTAATCTATGACCAAAGAAAGTAAATTATTGCGTCGTCGGATAAGAGCTTAAGAGGTTCACATCTTTTTGTTAACTATCTTACATAATTAAAACGTCACTTATCATTATTAATTGCGAAAATACGTTTTTATCCACTGATTACGAACTAATTATCTTAAATTCTTAAATCAAGAGAGCTAAGTCCATTGCATTATTTTAATCTTATTGTCTATAAGTACTTATAAACGTCACGATACCTACTATCTTGACCAAAATCGTGACTTTATGAAATTAAGATCTATTCCACTTTGATCACCTGCATTAGATCACCCAGGTGATTAAAGCGGACTCCAAGCAACACAACAGATAAGAAGTCCACTTTCATCATTTAGGTGATCTTAGGCATTGGTGATCAAAGGAAACCAAAGTGTCGCATCCAGGTGATCAAAGTGGAATAGACCAAAATTAATATCCTCTGGAATCAACTAGTTTATACCGAGTTATACTCGTACATAGGTATTATTTTAAAGCTCATGCTCTGGTATTACAACATCCTGTATAAAAATAAAAGAAACTTACGCGCATATACAAAAGCATCTCCTTTTCCTTTAATTGGTAGAATTAGAATGCGACCATCCACCTCGTATTGAGCAGTTAAACTGAAATTGCATTTAAACGACAAGGAAAATTCTTCGTCGAGCTCTCCAAGATTCAATCTAAAAACAAAAGAGGTCACTTAATGATGCATTATTGATTTTGATTAGTAAGTAGTAGGTAACTGAGTAAGTCGGTACAGTCGGCGTCAAATAGTTCATTTTCAACATTGTAACTTGTCTTCAAGTCAATGGTTTCGAACTTTTTGTCTACTTTGTGTGTCACGAACTATTTGACGCTGACTGTACCTATTTAGAATAAAATAAGGAATCTACAGTGCGATAATATACTATGTGGCGACGAAATAAGGACAAGCATGATTTACATACAATGTGCTTGTGCGCCGTTTAACAACGCTTTGCGCAAGCACAAGTTTGTTTGTGCGCGTCATAATTATTGTTAATCAATTAATAATCGATTGGCGATGTATAGCGAGTACCATCTGCTATTCAAACCGATTTCCGCACTTTATTGACACGTTACAAACAATTACAGACTTGTCTGTCTGTAATAATCGCAATTAATATGCAATGAAAAACTACCTTTATGTCGTAACAAATGTTGATACATTTACAAAGGTACCTACTTGATGTTAATGGGTTTTTAAGAGAAAGTTTAAGTTGTAAAATTTTAATAGGTCTTGCTTTATTGAATAAAAGGAAGATTTAATTAATTTATTCATTAATTAGTGAACACGTTACTTTGTGCCCGACGAGGAAACTTGTTTAAATGTCAAACTTTAAGTACCTACTAGAAAATGTTTTTTTAAAGTTTTTAAACTTAATTCGTTTTTAAGACTTCTACATAAGTTTGAACCGGTGCACTACTAGGTACTTACTGCATTGTCCGTCTCATAAAAAGCTTTATATCAAAAAGTGTAAAGCTTTATATCAGGCAGATAAGTCAATTAACACTGTTTTCCGAATAAAGTCAAATAAAATAATAAATAAAAGTGATGCAATTTGGCAGTACAACTACTCACTTTAGATCTGTAAGCTCAGCATTGCTAAGCCCGTGCATAGCGGCTTCCGTGAACTTCAGGAGCAGTCCGTTCCCATCGATCTTGATGTCGTCCAGCTTGACAGGGTCCAGCGAGGGTACGTTCAGCTCGGGAACTCCTTTGGTGAAGTGTGGGAGGCTGTTCACTATCTGCTCTCTCACGCAATCCGTCAAATTGGCTTCGTCTATGTCACATCTTTGGATGTAGGGCGCTGAAAGTAACATAATCTGGTGAGAAAAGTACCTAGTACCTAGGAATCGACTAACACATGAATAAGTAGAAATGTTGATAAAATAAAAGTACGTTTAGTTCCTTTTGGGGATTCTCCCTTAACATTCATTTATAAGGGTCATTCCATGAATATCTGTAATTTTCGACGTCATTTTGTCCTAAACTTTTTTAAGATACTTTTGAATACTTTATTAGTGTAAATTATAGTTTATTAATTAATTATGTTATGTCTAAAAGGGCCAGTCACTTTATGCTTTATTTTAGGAGAAATTATAATTTTCAATTTTTTCATACTACGTTACTACTATATGACTTTTAATAAAGTATAAAACTTATAACCTTAACATTTATAGATAAGTTAATATACTTAATGTAGCTATTTTGTTATTATCACTATATAAAAAACGACATTCCCTAACTAGTAACTTAGTCCTAGTGCCGTTTAAAGCTAGGGCCTGACGGTCTAGGGACTGACGATTTGGAGTAAAAC